TACTAGACAACTATAAATCAATAATAAGTTTTTATCTTAAATTCTAGTTTCATTAATTTTAAGTCCAAACTGTATAGGCCCAAGTTCTATTGTAGTTATATAAGAGAAATATTAAAAACTTACTAACAAACTTGGAAAAAAATCTTTCTATTTCTCGACCAATGCGAGAGCTAGCTTGTGCTCTAGATACAATTTTTAGATTAATTTCAGGTTGGTTTCTTTATTCCTATGTTTTTTAAACTTTTTATTTATGTTTTACTTTGTCATTTGTTATTACTTTTATTAAACTAAAAATGATCACGATCCTTGATTCAAATTCCAAAAAATAAAATAAAATCAGTATGGTTTATGTTTATAATATGAATAGTTAACAATTAGTTTCATATTTAGAAATTGACTATTTGTAATTTCTCAAATAACTAATAGATCAATTTCTGAATATGAAAAAAAATTATTGTGATCAAATGTACAAAAAGATGAAATTTTTGCTGATTTGAAATTTTATAAACCAAAAAATAATATAATCCAGAGAGTATTTTTCAACGTTTGGTTTATAAAATTTTGAAGTTGTTTTTGAATTTGTATGTTGATACGACAACCATTAAAAATGNTCAAATAACTAATAGATCAATTTCTGAATATGAAAAAAAATTATTGTGATCAAATGTACAAAAAGATGAAATTTTTGCTGATTTGAAATTTTATAAACCAAAAAATAATATAATCCAGAGAGTATTTTTCAACGTTTGGTTTATAAAATTTTGAAGTTGTTTTTGAATTTGTATGTTGATACGACAACCATTAAAAATGTTTTTCAAAGATAAAAATATTAAAATTTCTAAGTATTTTAATGAAAATTTTCTAAAATTTTTAATTAAACCGTGAAAAAAAAAAATAAATTATAAGTCATCGTTAAATAAATTTATAGTTTGCGATTGTTTTATAAATTATGGTTAAAATTTTTTTTTGACCCCACTATAAAAATTTTCTGGCTCCGCCACTGGGCGACGAATGCCTAATTGATTCAGGCACTTGTTCTAACATTGTGTCTGTGATTTCAAGTTCTTTGATGTTCCTTGAAATCTCTGGAAGTTTCCTCAACTGGCAGCATCCATAGATAGAGACCCACCCATTCGAGAGAGGCCAAGTTCCAATGAGTCTGAACATTTTGTACTTTTTTACAGGATACCATCAATAGATTCTTTAGTTTTACCAAACTCTGGCAACCAATCAAAGACAAGGTCTCGAGATTTGTGGCATTTGAAAGATCTGGGAGACTCTTCAACTTCGAGGACCCTAACAAATCCATCTTCTTGAGATTTGCAAGGGGCTGAACGTAAAACGACAAAACATAGGTAAGATCATCAACAAAATGATGAGACAAATATATTCAAAAAAGTAAGCAAATAAGAAAAGACCAACCTGGGTTCCTTCCTAAAGCATATTTAGCTGGTTATATCGGAAACTGAATCCGACAAAATGTACGAGGGAGACACTTTCCAGGGTATACTTCCCAGTCTAATAGCCTTAGACGAGGTGGAAAATCCATTCCCTCGGGTACATGCACTCTAACATTTCTGTCAAATTCGGGTACATGCACTGTATCAAATCTTTTCTTGTAGACAGACACTGAGGAATCGAAGGTTACGCATTCTTTTGAAAGCTCCTGCATGCGCTTATATACACGCCGTCATGGATTGTGGATATATCAAAGGATATACCCTGTCACACTTGTACTACCCTAAACAAAATGCAAAACAAAAGAAAATGTTAGCACATTAGGTAAGATCGCCAAATTACATGATGAAGAAAATTAAAAAAAAAAAACTCATGAACATCAATTAAGATTTGGCGTTTCCAAGGCTCTTGTCTTTGAACGGCCTGTCGGCCCACTTGTTGTAGTAACTTGTGCATCACTACTTTTCCTTCCGTTGATATTTGTATGAGAGATGCATAGGCGAGTGTTTTCAACCCGATCGAGTTCGACATCAAAGATACTATCAGCGAGCTATGATTTGACATGATCATCCTCTTGGTAGTTGAAGAAGAATGCAATGTGGAGAAACAAAGATTGATCATTCTCATGTAAATTGTCGTATCCAACTCTAAGTACTCCCTCTATATCTCTATCGAGGCTATTTTCTAGCCTATGCAGTATAACTTCCCAGTCATCTTCTTTCTTTCCTCGCAAAGATGAACCCATGACACGGAGACCCAATGGAAGCTTTGTTACTCTTTCCACAAGCTTTTCAAAACCATAGGGTGCAGATCTCTGTCTAAAAGCAAATCTACAGAAAATCTGATATGCTTCTATGTTAGTAGGAAAATCCACATGGTATGATGTATTGTTGATACCATGTCTCTCCAAAAGCTCTTGATCTTCGGTGGTTACAATAATCCTGCTTCCAGAACCAAACCACCTAGTTTCATCAGCCAAAGCCTCTAGTTGCTTCAAAGCATCCACGTCATCAAAAACAACATGAAACGCTTTTAGGTCGCATAACCTCTCTCATGTACTGCACCTAAATGGCAAATCCTCATACCGTTTTGGTTTAAAATCTTTGAAAGAAATTGTTCCAGCTTCGAACCATAATCGTCAAGACCGGCATCACAGCGTCCCCTAATATTCTCCATAAAACAAGTAAGCTCGCTCGAAACTGCTGGAGAGTCGGGTATGTAAAGCCCTGGCAATGGTAGTCTTACCAATTCCAGCAGGGCCACAAATTCCAACTATCATAGCTCCATCCTCATCATCTAAATGTAACATAGGCTGGATCTTCATCAAATGTACTTCAATACCCACCATGTCGTACGTCTTCAAAGTAATTCCAAGAGATTCTAGTGTTCAGTTCGTTTGAAACATCTCTAGCAATCTTTTCAATCATCTTCGATTCATTGTCCCTGACAACATAGAGAAATCACCCACCCACATGGTATTGAGAAAGAGAAAATCCAAACACAAAATTGAAACAAACCAGTTAAGGAAGTGTTCTCCGGCTATATCAGTCAAAGCTTTTGTCCATCTTAGCCTCTCCTCCTCTGTATGACGAGCACAAGTTTCATTGAAAGCGATACCAAAATCTCCGGTCTGGTTCCGCACATTAGATGGATCTACTCCGTAAAAGACCGTCATCACTATTTGTCCCATATTTTCCTTGCACTTCAGGATCTCCAAACACCACTTGGAAGAAGCATAGTTCCTCGAGAGCACTGTAGGAGATGGGTTATACCCCTCCACAAGGCCCATCAAATGAAGAAACTTAGCCCAACATGACAATATACTCGGCCCACCAGGTAACACCAAAACGACTCGGCATGAGACGCGTTTAGTAGCGCGACTAAACGTGTTCTAGAAGAGTCGGCGGAAGTACGATTTATCCGGACTACTAAACGGGCCTAGCAATAATAAGGCCCAACAAGGCTCGGGTAAACTAGGGCGAACACGAAGATTGGATCTATAAAAGGAGATAGGCAGCAAAGGGAAAAGGGGATCCGGAATTCGACATACTCACTTGGCGGCTAGATCTAGGGTTTCTTAGCGACTAGGTGGTTAGATCTAGGGTTTACTCACCCTCTCGTTTACTCACCTTCCTGTTTAGTCACCTTCCCGTTTACTCACCATCTTGTACTTCCGGCTAGTCCGCCTCTTTACTCTTCTCTTTGTAACTCCTTGTTCAGATCTAATAAAAACGTCTTTGTTCGCCCTCATCTCTCTCTTTATATTGTTTCGAACCATTTTCACCTCAAACAAGCACCACGATGGAGATCCTAGATTCCCTAATAGCTCTAGTGAGTGCACGAGGAATGAGTAGGCTTCTCTCGATCCCTTGATCATCGAACATCGAAATCCCGTTGCAGTTAAACTGTTTGCGTACATGACTGAGAAGCGTTTTACGGACGTCCGGGCCGTGGAAGCTCGTGAAGACACGGTACGTCCAGGTGCGAGGCGTGGAAGAAGTAGAAGAATCCATGATACTAGAGTAACAAGGATATTTCAAAAGATCGGATATACCAAGTTGTCTCTGGATTCACCATTGACTTTTGAGAAAGAGAGAGATGAAACTTTAGTTTTGGTTGGGTTTAATAAAAAAAAAAGTCATTCTCCTGACTTATGATAATTATGTAGACCGGAACACATCACCTACCATCTAAAGAAAATTGCACACTCAAACACTATATAAATATTATCTCAAGTTCATAACTAGAAGAAAAAAAAGGTAATTGGGTCAAAAACAATGAAGTGAGCCCAAATTAAAAATATACCAACAACGGTACCCAAGCTAGAAAATTGTGGTAATGGGTGTATGGTTTATGACGAAAATGACCTTCCTGCTTGGACCTATCGACTTCCAAGTGTTAAGGTTAAGTAGGGTTTATAGGTGTACTGATTTTATTTTGATTTCGTTTAGATTATGTGTAGATATTGTTAGATATTACTGGATATTGTTCGATTTCATCGGTAAACCAAAGTTGAACAGTGGTGAGTGCAAAAAGATTCGTGTCCACACATTCTCTGACGCAAGCAGTGCATGCCAAAAACGAATTAACCCTAAAAATTTCCTCCTCTATTTACAGAAAATGTGTACGTATAAATAGATGTTAACTGTTATCTCCCTCTGGGTCGTCTACAAAACGCAGAAAACGAATTCAGAGTTTACAAGTAAAACTCTTAGAGAAAGTGGAGGTTAATCTGAAAGTTGTGAAGGATATTCGACTTATCTTTTTCGAGGACAGAGATTTTCCCAACTGTAAGTGTTTCTGAAACCTTAAATCATAAATACGATTTTGGTTTGGTTCCCCTTTGCATTTAAGTTGTCGAAACACTTTATACATCAGAATAAATACTTATTTCAGAGCTTCTAAAATCATATGTTGCCCTCGTTGCCAAGTCTGATTTTCCCCATCTGAATCTATATTGTATATGTTATGTAGATTTTTTGCTTTAATGTATAGAATCTACCATTAAACCACTATTCTAACTCTACGATTTTCGGCAGGAGATGGGAAGACTGTTTAGAGTGTTTCGTGGGAAATGGAAGAGAAACCGTCGGAACCACTGGCTTTTCCTCCCCACACCTGGTGATAACCCCTGGACCATGTATGTCGAGGAAGCTGATAATTATCAAATGGTGGAAGGGGCAACAAGAGAGATCTATGGTCTAGGTGAGGCTAAGCCGGTGGTTATCACATATGGGAGGCTTGACTGGATGCTTTTCCCTAGTGGGAACATACCCCCACTGACGACATCAACATCTCATGATCTTCATGATTTGTTAACCGAGAGGCCATGGGTGACAGAGGTTACTTTACTGGTTACTCTTGGGGCGAGGAGCATGGTAGAGTATAACTTTCTCCGACGTTCTAACTTCAGTATAGGGACAACAAAATATGTGGTTGATGGTGCGCAGGATGATAGAGCAAGAGCTATATTCGAAGGTTCATATTCTAACACCTTTCATATATTTTTTTTTAGATATCAGAACCCGACACGTTACTGATATATGGTTCAATCTTTTTTATAGGTTTGGTTTTCAGTGAACGTCTTCTTACAAGTGATAGGGTGATGTTGGAGATATTTGGAGAACAGGAGATGCAACTCCTCTACTGAGTTGCACTAGAGTTGCAACATGTTGACATGGGTGTGTCTTTTCAGTCAGTAACTGGCGTTGAGCATGGTTTCGACATTATAAGCATCGACGATGCCGAGGAGATGGTTGATGTCGGTAACAGGGGAGTACAAACACTAGCCACTGTCGATAAGATTATTTTGTACACCGACCTCCTCTTCTCCTTAAGAAAATCATAAATATAAGAGATGAAGGAAAATAATAACATAACTGTATTTATTTTGGTGTAGCCGGCTCTAATTTACATTAATCGTTTTGCTGCTGTTCTAAAATAGGCGGCACAATTACGAGCTCTGCAGCTCAAGACCAAGAGGTTCCAAACAATGCCTCCCAAGCTCCATCTGTTCTCTGGGACGTCGGGATAGACTTAGTCAACTATCTGGCTTTCATAGACACAGATAGGTAGCCTGGTCCAGAGCCAGATGGTACTGATTTCTGGAGAGATTTAATGGAAGGAGAGGCTAAAGCAACTGAGGTATTGGACTTGGAGGTTGAATGCGTTGAAAAATGGACTAAAATCCCAACTGGAGAGGCTGTGGGTGTTGAGAAAGGAGCCGAGTCTTCTACAGGGTCTATTGCTATTGTTTGTTCTCAATATCTTGGAACAACTTCCGGACAGGCTAGCGACGTCGGGGAGGTTAACTCGAAGCCTCGTGGTGGACAACCAAACCTTGGTGGTTCTGCAAGCAAAGGAGGTTAGAAATGGTTTTATGGATGACAATAATTTTTTTTTTTTGTACTAGATGATAATTGATTATTTGTTTTATAACGATAGTCAGTTTCATTGCTTTGATTGTGTGCAGATTCTGTTGAACAGGTTCCCATAGCCTCCGTTCAAGTTACTGAGACTCTGCACAGTTTGTCCTCACAAACTGTTTCTCCCTCACAGAGCCTACCATTCACGCCTGCTCCAGTTCCCGGAACGAAGGAGGGAGCACCACCAAAGATGAAGAGTGAGAAGGCTGTGGAGACTTCATCTGAGGGTAGCCACACTGAGGGTGGGTGATGATATGAATGGGTTTGAGTGTAGTTTGAAGTTGTAATATATTAATGCTTATGTTGTGTGTTTTTGCGGGGATGGGTTGTTTTTGGTTAACCGGTTAACATAAAGTTTAACCAAAGTCGGTTTCTTGGTGGTTAAAATTTTGTGTAACCGATTAGGTTTTCAATATAATCAGCTAAGTGTGACTTATATATGCTTATGAATGCAAGAAGTATGAAGTAGACGGTTAGGTTTGAGTTTGGGTTGGGTTGTCTGTTTTTGTTGCTCAAACTTTTATGTAACTGTTAATGTATTAATGAAAAAAATCTCATATTCCGTTTAGCTTCTTGCAAGGCTTTGTTGTTTTCAGTTATAATCTATGTTAAGAAAGGTGTTCATATGAGCTTAGAATTGATAAAGTTTACGATTGATAAAGTTTGGATAACCGGTTAACATAAAGTTTAACCATAGTCGGTTTATGGTGGTTAAACTTTTGTGTAACCGGTTAGGTTTTCAAGATAATCGGCTGAGTGTAACTTCTATTTTACTATGGATGCAAGAAGTATTAAGTAGATGGTTAGGTTTAATTTTAGAATTGTTAAAGTTTACAACCTCACACCTTCTCATAATCTATGTGGAGAAATCGGTTCATATGAGTATAGTTTTGATAAAGTTTTACTGTATAGCAGGTGAGATAGGTGATAATGGGCTTGACCTGACTGTGGGAATGATGTTTCCAGTCAAAGAGGCTTTCAAACAACACATGGATTTGTATGCAATTGAGCATAAGTGTTGCTTCAGAAGTCCAAAATCTGACCCAAGATTGGTGATCTTTGTCTGTCAAGGGCCCTGTTGTTAAAGTAACAAAAAATAATAATGAAATTTTCTTCTTTTTTATGTGTCTAAATCATGAAACTTTCTAATATATAAAGTATAAGTGTGATTATAAATAGTCGTCAAAACAAAAGATTTCTTTGTTTGTAATTAACGACGGGTATGTACTATAGATAACATTCTTACAATTTATTTGATTATTCATGTTTTTATTGTCTTTCTAAATTTTTTGTATGCAATGAAGGATATGTAGTAGTTGGCAACATCAAAATATGTATTAGGTCGTTATGTATTAGTTAAAGTATAGGTTGGCGATAGTAGAATCGTTGATGTTTGATTTAAGAGTTACATGTTCATTATTTTAGAACAGTCTGTATTACAATGTAATAAAACTTAGGTTAGGCAACCTCAAACTGATTTCAAAGATATTATTTTCAGCGATTTCAAACATGTGAAGGCCCACCATAGTTGGGAGCGAAATTATAGGCTATGATACAAATCTGGAAAATATATTGTTTCCCAGCAAGATCCCAAAGGTAGCTTGGTAATTCATACTTTCTGATGGATCCCCGAGATAGCTTTGTAATTAAAGAAATAGACAATAAATAAATATACAAGACAAAAAAAATTATATAATATCAGAAATATAAATATTACTTTAAATATCTATAATTATATTATCATTTGATATAAGAAAGAATAATTATAAATAATAAGTAAATAAACAAGAAAAAATTAAATATAAAATATAAAAAATAAATAATATTATACTAAAATAAATAATAAGTACAATATCAGAAATAGAAATATTACATTAGACATATATCGTAATAGTATTCTTTTTATAGAATAAAAACGAAATAATAAATAAATATACAGTATAAAAAATAAGAAGTAAACATATAATATAAAAAATATAAATATTACATTAAAAATCTACCGTAATATTATCTTTTAGTATAAAAGCAAGAAAATTAGAATAAATAGATATACAGTATAAAAAAACAATAAGTAAATACATAATATAAGAAATGAAAAACTAAATTACACATCGAGTTGAAAAATGTATAGTAAAATTAATAATAAGTAAATATACAATATATGAAATATAAATATTACATTAAACATATATCATAATATTAGAATAAGTAAATATATAATACAATAAAAATAAATAATAAGTAAATATACAATGTAAAATAAAAATATTGCATTTAAAATCTCTCATAATATTAGAATAAGTAAGTATACAATATAAGAAATATAAATCTCTATAATATTATTTGAGAAGTCACTTTCTTAGGTGTCGCGCTCACGTTAATTCTCACGCTGGTTGATTACTATGATACCCCTAATGAATTAAAAATATAATTAAATATTATTTCCTTTTTAAAAATTTCCAAATAACAATATAAAATAAAAAGGAAACATTTATAAAATTTAAAAAATTATTTAAAAACGAAAAATATAAGTATATATAATATGGTTTAATAAAAAAAGGAAAGTTCACAAAATAGTAATAATTAATTTAAATATATTTTAAATAACATAAAATATACCTTTGAAGTAATAAAATACTTTATATCTATATCTTCTTAGATAAACAAACAATATCTGTATATAATGAGATTTCATAAAAAAAAATTCACACAAAAAATATTGCTATTAGAAAAAGAAATATTTTTTCCTTAAAAAATATTTTAAACAATAAAATATATATATTTTCAAAATAATTATGATTACATAAAATAATCAACTAACATAAACTGATATATGTTTAACTGACATTTTTTTATAATTAGTATTATTGAAATTATTTTTTTAGTATATTTATTTGACTATAATATCTTACAATTACAGTAAAAATATAAATTATATTTTACTTATATAGTATAATTTCTAAAAAACAATCACTTTTTACTGACTATTTTAAGAGATACTACATATAAAACTAAAATAAATTTAATGATAAACATCTTTTGATCAAGTAACTACAATTATTTTAAAATATCATAACACTATATAATTTAACGAGGTAGATACATTATATTTTAATAGTTAAAATTATATGTTCTAAGAATAAGAATTCTGATTTACTTAAGTATTTTGATTATGGTTATATTAAGTTTCACAAACATAAAAACAAAAATAACTACAATTATTTTAAAATACCATAACACTGTATAAACGAGGTAGATGTATTATATTTTAATGGTTAAAATTATATGTTTTCTTAATAATCTTTTGATTTTTAATTTTTTGTTTTTTATGTTTGTGAAACTTAATATAACCATAGTCAAATACTTAAGCAAATCAGAATCCTTATTTTTAAAATTATTTAAAATAAATTTCAGTTTACCATCCAAACAGTCTAAAGCATAAATTTATTTAGAATTTATAAAATATGTTAAATATTGTAAATATTGATATGTGTTCAAAAATCTTCTAGAAATTTATTAGTTACTTATGTATGTAATTTAGAATCATAAACTTTAGTTTTTATTTTTTTTTTCCTTCTAAGCACAAAAAAATCTTAAGTTATATATAAGCTTACTAAATATACTTATATTTCTAAGATAACAACCAACATAAATGCAAATAAGACAATTAATCAAAAATTTAATATTTTAAAATATAAAAGATAATAGTTGAATTCAGAGAAATATATAGAATCCAATATATATAAATGATAACTAAATCGACCGTAAAAACAATAGAACAGACTAGATATAACATATCTAAAATTATATATATATAATTAAAGTAATATAATATTATAATATAAATTAGACATACAAACTATAAATTAATTTAAAAATTAAAGTAAATATCAATCAGTTATTATTGTATATTTATTTTATAAATATACATGTCCGTGCATGAGCACGGGAAAATCACCTAGTATTACATTAAACATCTATCCTATTTTATTATAAATTAAATAAATAAAATATATAGTAAAATAAATAATAAGTAAATATACAATATGAGAAATATAAATATTACATTAAACATCTATCACAATACTAGAATAAGTAAGTATACAATATACAAAATATAAATATTACATGAATCATCTATCATAATATTAAAATAAGTAAATATAATTTATAAGAAACTAAGTAAATATACAATATAAGAAATAGAATAACTACACCAAACATC